ATTGTTGAATATTTTCTTTTCTTCTCAACCCACAACACACCTCTTGTTCCAGATTGTTGTCATGCATCTAATCCTATATTCCTTCGGGATGGCACCTCCCCTCATCTGTTTTATTGCAGTGTCCATTATTATCTATCCGCTCTTTCCCCATTCCTCTCAGTGGGTTTTCAGAGGCTGTAAATCACATCGGAGGAGACTGCCCCCCCTTCTCCTTTGGAGAAGCTGGTAGATTTGAACTGTGTACATTTGGGCTGGCAGTGCAATTTCTTACCACTAAGCCACCAGGGCTCCCCAAGAAAATATTGAAGGGAGGAGCAATGTTAAAAAAGAGGGAGAGAATGGACACCTTAATAGCACTGGCCACTGCCTGTGAATTGTGCACATAGCAATGGAGGGGGGGATACTTCTGCTAGGTGTATTTTCAACAGGTAGACCAAGTCAAGTTCATTGCCGTCAAGTTCTTTTCAACTCATGGCATCCCCCTTGTAGGACAGAGCAGAACTTCGAGTCCTTGGTGTTTCCAAGGCTGTAATATTTACAGAAGCACGCTGACATATCTTTAGTTTTAGGAGCAGCTGGTCTGTTCAAGCCATCCGCCTTCCAGCCAGCAGCCACGCGAGTCAAGCCACCAGGACTCCTTTCAACAAATTAAATTCTTTTTTCCTAAAAGAAGGCTGTGGGGAAACATTATCCGTTACTTCTCTGGTCCACAGAAGATTACAGGGGAGGAATGATCCAAGTCAGAAGTCTCTCTGGTCCTTCCCTGGACAGGTTGTTGTGCTGTTCGGTGTCATCAAGCCACTCTAAGTCATACTGACCTTGCTCACGACAGATTGAAACCTGACTCTTGGGGAGCTCTGGTGGCCTAGTGGCGAGGAACTGCAACTACAATCCCAGAGGCGCACGGTTCGAACCCACCAGATGCTCTGCCGGGGAAGGAGGGACAATCTCCTCCTGTACCAGTCAGATCTGATTTGATGGTACACGCACACAAAAAAATAATACTAAAAAAAAAAAAAAGAAACTTGACTCTATCCTGAGCCAGCTTCAGATCTCTGCTGTGTCTTACTGGACTTCTTTTAGAGTTAGACCCATTTGCTCTCTACCTGTTCGACTTCTGGAAGTGGGGAGGGGGGAACATCCTAATAGTGCAATCATATCTGGGAAGAAAATCTTGATCATTTAATCATATCTTTTGTCCTCCTGTTTGGAAGATTCAAGTCAAGCTTTTTCTCCTGGAGGGTGGGGTCACGAGAGAGGTCGTACAAAGAAGAAAGCAGGACTGGGCTTAGCAGGTGGAAGGTGTATATGTGTGGGCTTGATCGGAACTGGAGGGAGCTTAGGGGGTGGATTGACAGGTACAGGAGGAGACTGCCCCTCCTTCTCCAGCAGAGCATCTGGTGGATTCAAACTGAGCACCTTTGGGATTGCAGTGCAGCTTCTTGCCACTAGGCCACCAGAGCTCCCTGTTTTGAGATAGGTTTGGAAGCAGGAGTGGCATCCACTCCCTAAACCACATGCCCCTGGAAACTCGATGAACTTGCAGAAACGATAGTTGTAGAAAGGCCTCCAGTCTTTTGTTCATGGAGTCGCTATGAGTCGTGCGTGACTCAATGGCCATCAACAACAACAACAACAACAACAAGGGACACCCTTCAAACCAGGACATTAACCCATCCCTAAGAATCAACCATCAGCCAAACAATCAACAATGTTATAACATATCTTGTTCCTTTGTACCAACAAGCTGGCAATTAATAACATATAGAGAATAAGAACACGAGAGAGAAACTCTTCAATTCAACCAAGTATGTTGGACCTAGAGAGCAGCATTGGCCCCCAGAACAGAGCTCAGGAGGCAGGAAGGAGAATGAGAGAAGGTTGGATGCAAGTGGGAGGCCCAGGGAGGGAGGAGAGAAAAGGGCGCTGTTCCTTTGAGGGAACTTAATAACGAGTCACTAGTGTCACAACATAAAATATAGGTGCACATTGTTGAAGGGGAAACTAATTTGCTGGGCACACTTTCACTCAGGCCGCGATAAGGAAAATCAAATCACAGCAAACGTGTCAGGCCGGGTGACCCTTCACAGTTCTGCCCCAGAATTCTCACCTTTCTTTGTGGTTCTCTGAAAGATGCGTGCGTTCCGGTGGGTGGTGAAGAATTTAAAGTAGGTGCAGTTGGCTTCTGTAGGAGGAGAGAAAGAAAGGAAGGTGTTGGGAAGCATCTCCCACGGGCAAGCTCACTGGGTGCCTGGGTGGCACTCTTTGCACATGACCAGCAACCAACAGGTTGATGGTTTGAAACCATCTAGAGACACGGCGGAAAAGAGGCTTAGTGATCTGTTTCCATAAAGAATTCAGCCACCTGGTGACGCGCGGGCTTGTCCGGAGTCGGAATCAGCTCACAGGCAATGGGTTTTGGTTGCCGCTTTGTGCGGGATCAGAGGCTGAACACTCAACACAGCAATATAAAGAAAAGACATTAGTTAAAAATACTCATTGGCACTGAGTTGGAACAATTCATAGCAGGTTTTAGAGGCTGTAAATGGCATGAGATAAGACTGCCCCTTGTGGATCCGAACATACTGCCTTTGGGTTGGCAGGGCAATTCTCTACCCACTAGACCACCAGTGTCTCCTAGACCATTAGTTGTGTTGGTATCTAGAGGAGAAAAATGATGATGAGAGATATAAAAGTCATTTGCTATCCAAAAGCCACAATCCATTGGTGGCCCAAATGCTTAGGCACTTGACTACTAGCCAGAAGGTAGGTAGTTCGAACCTACACAAAGAAGCCTCAGAAGACAGGCTTGGTGATCTGTTTCCAAAAGCCATAGTCCTGAAACTCTGTGAGACACAGTTCTATTCTACACGCACGGGGGGAATCAATAACAATGATGTCCAAGAGGAGGAATTCCCAGAGTGTGGAAGTCCGCCTCTCTGTCCAGGGAGGGCCACTGCCCCTCTCTATAAAGTGAGATCATAAGCTCTTTCCTAACTCCTTCATAGAGATTTGCTAAAAGTCACGTGGAATTAGAAGTGGATGCTTTCATCTAAGGCACCAAAAACTGATCTCTCTTCATTTGGAGATTATATATGTAGAAACTGGGAATTGATCTGTGTATGTTTTGGCTTTGCATATTCTCAACAGCAAAAATAAAAGAGGTGTTTTTTTAAAAAAAAGGAAAAGATACTTTATTTAAAGACATGAAAAGTCAGGTAAAAAAGGCTAGCAGAGTAAAAAAAAAGGGGTTTACCTCTTTAAAAATATCATTTAGTTTCTCTTTTTTAATTGTCATTAAAATATACACAGGTATTGTAGATATGAATCTGTTATTGTTTTTTATATGAGACTTATATAGATAAAACATTTATATATTAATCTTTACTGGTTTTATATATATATATATATATTTATATATATAAATGTATGTGTGTATGTGTTTGTGTGTTGTGAGTTTTAAAAAAAAAAACACAAAACACCGCAAGCTCATTGCCCTGGAGTCATAACTGACTCAGCCGAAAATGAGACTGTCTGTCTTTCTCTCACGGAGCCACTGCAGGATTCAAACCCTCTGCCTTTGGGTTGGCAGTGCAACTCCTTACCCACTAGACCACCAAAGCCCGCTTCTAATAAGATGTTAGTAGATATTGTTGTTCATGCTGTCAAGTCGCCTGTGGAGTTAAGCAAGCTGAAAGTGTTAGCAATCTCAGATATAATTATATAATCATGTACACAATCAAGACTCTTGGCACCAGCAGCCAGGAAATTAAAAGACAAATTGCATTGGGAAAGCCTACTGTCAGAGACCTCTTTGCAGTACTAAGAGCAACAATGTCCATCTGGAGACTAAGGTGCGCCTGATCCAGTCCACAGTCTTTGCAATTATTTGCTATGCATCAGAAAGCTGGACAATGACTAGGGAAGCCAGAAGAAGAATTGATGCCTTTGAGCTGTGGTGCTGGAGAAGAGTATTGAATGTACCATGGACTGCCAAGAAAACAAACAGATTCATCCTAGAGAGGGTTAAACCAGGCTGCCTCTTGGAGGCAAGGATTCTCAAGTTTTGTCTGACATAATTTCGGCATGATGCAAGGAGGAACCAGTCCTTGGAGAGGGACGTCATGCTTGGGAGGGTGGAGGGGCAGCACAGGAGAGGAAGACCCTTGATGGGATGGATTAATTCAGTGACTGGAGTAATGGGGGTGGGTGTGTCAGAGACAATAAGGTTGGCACAGGATAGAGCAGGGTTCAGAGGTGTTGTCCAGAGGGTTTCTATGAGTTGCAAGCAACTCGATGACACACAACAACAATATATACAAAGAGAGAAAACCAACAAAAGAGTCATATTTAAAATGCCTATGTGTGTGTTTACATAAGAATTTCTACATGTACGTTTACATATTTAAGATCAATAAGGTATTCACAACTAGAATAGTGACTAGAAATTGTACTATCAACCCTAAAGACATGGGATTGCTGGACAGTCAATTCTGACTAATAGAACACCTGTGTGTATACTCATCAATGAAAACAAAACCAAAATCAACTGCATTGAAAATTTTTCTTTAAAAAAAAATCGACTGAAGGGAGCTCTGGTGGCCTAGTGGCAAGAAGCTACACTGCAATTCCAGAGGTGGTTTGTTGTTGTTGTTGTTATGTGCCGTTGAGTCGCCTGCGACTCATAGCGACCCTATGTACAACAGCCCTAAACTCCGCTCTGTCCTGTGCCAATCGCACTGTCTCTGACACTCCCATCCTGATTATCCCAGTCACTGAATCAATCCACCTCATAGAGGGCCTTCCCCTCCTGCGCCGTCCCTCCACCCTCCCAAGCATGATGTCCCTCTCCAAGGACCGGTCTCTCCTCACTATGTGGTACATGGTTCAAATCCACCAGATGCTTTGCTGGAGAGGGAGGGGCAATCTCTTTCTGTACCAGTCAGATCCGATTTGCCAGTACACACACATCCCCCCCAATAAAAAAATTTTTAAAAATAAATAAAAGATTGTTTAAAAAATTGACTGTTTTTAAAAACAAGGAACGAATCTTTATCTTTATTCAAGCAAAGACTGAGTTAACAGAAGTCTTGCTGACTCAGAGAAGAGAGTCACTTTGTCCAAAACCCCAATGAAAAGGTTCACCTGTCAAGCTCACAAGGGACCCCTGCAGACCAGGAAGGAAAGCAAAAGCACGGGGTGCAAAAACGGGTCGAGGCTGTGAGCGGTCCAGTCACAGAAGAGGAAGCCTGGATGGCTGGCAGGTCCTTTGAAGAGATGCTCCACTTCCCCAGGGATCACAGAAATGCTACTTAGACCAGCAGGAAGCTCCCACTCTTCATCGCAGACATTGGCAAACACTCACAGCAGAAGATCAAACACTTGAAGGATGAGAGGAAACAGCTGGGGGTATAGACTGTGTCCTTGTGTGAAAAAAACACACTCTGTATAAGTCAATGCAGAGATTTACTCCAAGTTCACAAAGGGTCCATCTGGGTTGCTGTTGCTAGTGGTCCAGGAGTCAGCTCAGAGGCCCTACGAACAAGAGATCTGCCCTTTGGGGCAGCATCCTCTCCACCTCTCACAGGCTAGAGCCCACTGCCACAGTGACCATTTCCACACATCTTGTTGAGAGTCTTCCTCTCTTTTCTCGGACCCTCCACCTTTTTCCAGCATGCTGTCCTTTTCCAAGGACTAACACGGCCCAAAAGATATGACCTGAAGTTTCCCATCCTTGCTCCTAAGGCGCGCCTTGGTTGCATTTCCTTCAAGACAGATTTGTTTGTTCCTTTGGAAGTCCAGGGGACAGTCAGTACTAGGCAATAAGGAGGAGCTCTGGTGGCCTAGCGGTAAGAAGCTGCGCTGCAATCCCAAAGGCACACAGTTCAAATCCACCAGCTGCTCTGTGGAAGATGGATAGGCAATCTCCTCCAATGTGATTAACTGGCTCTGTAAACCTGCCGGAGGGGTCAGCTATCGTGGCACCTACCCACAGACCACAAGGAGGAAGGCATTTCTGTGGAGTTGGAGCAGGACCTAAAAGCTTAAAAATAAAAGCTAATTTTTCACACCCATGTTTATCGAGGCTTTGTTCACAATAGCAAAGAGTTGGAAACAGCCCAAGTGCCCGTCAGCAAATGAATGGATAGAGAAGCTCTGGTATATTCACACAATGGAATACTAGGCTGCATTGAAAAACAAGGAACTTATGAAATATTATTAAAAATGGGGGACCCTGGAGGACATTATGCTGAGTGAAGTATCTCAGTCACAAAAGGACAAATACTGCATAGTACCACTGTTGTAAAACGGGACTGACATCGGGGTTGGGGGGAGACTCAGAAAGACGGGATAAATAATGTATACTGCACTGAAACAGATGAGGGAGAAAAACTGTTTAAAGGGGATATATGATTAGGTATTATTGTCTTGACAGGAGTCCAGAACGAAGGCTGCATAGTGGAGTGGACCTGGGGGGAGGGACTGTATAACAATGAAAGAATTTTTCTTTTACTTTTTAAAGAGAAGAGTGAACTGGTGGGGAGGGGTGGGCAGGGCAAAAAGTGCAACAATGAATGACTGGAAATCCAAAGTCTGCAAATTTTCACTGAAATGAATAATAAAAAAAGAAAAACAAAAGAAGGCTAATTTTATTAAAGATAGTCAAAGGAGTCAGAGGTGGGCTATCTAAGAGGCAGGCGTTAGCAGAGGTCAGCAGTCAATACTTAAAGTGGGATCACATGAGGTTATCACAATGGGGCCGCAGCACGACAGAGCAGGTTTTCCCAGTGACCTGCTGCTAAAATTACCGTCTCAGCCCTGCCTGTTCCTGGGGGAGCAAATTGTTCAGATTTATCGATAATGCTGTGAGTCAAGGCATGTGAGCATATGGTTAGAACACACCTTGCATTGCATCCGTTTGACCATAATAGAAAGACCTTCCGGAAATAGATGGGCGAGGGCCTGCCCCTCCCACATCTCAGAGAAGAAGAATGCCTCCCGTAGGGCGTTCGGCTAGGGCGTAGGGTTGGGCTGCAACAGAGTTACAGGAACTGCTGTCAGAAAAGGCACTCTGGTGCTAAGATTTGCAGATGAAATTGAGGCTCTGTTTCCAGATTTCTCCATTTACTTTTAAACTTCATACTTCTCATTCTAGCTTCCCTTGCAACCAGTACTGATCCTTTT